TTACTTTCATTCAGATTAACTCGTTTTCTTTTCATTTCACTTCAAAAGAAGGCAGGCTATGCATTTAACACCCTTTAAGACTAAGTGCAGTCTAAGGGCTCACTCGTACTAGGAGGCCCTCTAATGCTCCTGGATTACGCAAGGCAGGGATTGATTATACCTCATGTCCACGTTGCCTTCCCATTCTTGAACTCGTGCGTGAGCAACCGTATGGTGCAGGAGCACATCTCTTTGAACTGTGCTATCCTGTGTTATCTGATAAGTAAATAACCTTTTATGCAAGGTGGGAACCAACCACAATGCATCAGGAGGAGTGATTGAGAGCTTATGAGAGACTACGTACCGAGGTGGTCTGGCACACATTTATCCAGATTGGTTTGGTAGATGAGACCGCCCCTGCATCCTAGGCAACATTAAGGACCAACCCCTGTGAGACCCGAAGTGTTCAAGGGAGACGCGATGTTAATGCAAAGTGTAAACGCCTGCACATCATTTCTATCCACCTGTTATATGTTTACCCTGGATGGATGTTAATGCAAGGTATAAACAGGGCCTCAGTCTCCGTTTCTCAAGCCCATTCACTTTTTTTTCCCAGTATAACTATGTAATTTAAGATTGATTACCAGTATGGTATTATTCTCTATCACTGCTGATTCTCTGGTTCTTTTGGCTTTTTCTCAGACCTTGTGGATCTCGAAGTAGCGGTTTCGTCACCCATGCTCCCCAGGAAAGAGCGCCCCGTCCTGGACAGTAACCTGAATGAGGATGACCGCCTGCTGCCCAAAGACAAGGACAAGACACGAGGCAGTGGCTTTTTGAGTCTCATTAAGAAAAAGAAGAAGAATGCTCCTGCCCCGCCCAAACGCAGCTCCTCTTTCAGAGAGATGGACATCCATCCCGACAGGAGGGGCATGACTTCAGATCCTCGAGACAGTGAGAGCTTCAACAATGGCGCAGCTGTTAATGATGTCACACATGGCCTGGACTGTGCCAAGTTCCTGAGTATTAACAATAATGGGGCAGGGGGAATCCCCAATGGAGCGCCTACATACCCAGGACCCTTGTTTCCGAGGAAGAAGGGAGCTCCTGCGGTGCCTGGTCCTGGAGGAAAAGCAGCGACGACGCCACCCAGTGAGGAGGAATCTATGTCTAACTCAAAGCGCTTCCTCTGGTCCTCCAGCATGCCCATAGGCTCAGATGGCACTGAATGGAAGTCTGTTACTCTGCCGCGAGACCTCGGCCAGAGACACTTTGACTCAGGCACATTTGGGGGCAAACCAGCTCTACCACGCAAGAGAACAAGCGAGCAAAAAGGGGAGAACGCACCTCGAACAGGCACCTTGACTCCACCGCCTCGTCTGAACACCTCGTCAGATGTGTCCTCTGCTTTCTTAGGCAAAGACTCTGATCCCAGTCCTGGTTCAAGTCCCCAGGCGTTGACACCTAAGGTTGTAAGACCAGGGCTGCCCGGGCTGGAGAACTCCAGGACAAGTGCTCTCCATGCTGAGCTCCTCAAGCCCAATGTGTTCCCAGCTTTAGGTGCAGCAGGGGATGAGTGCCGGGCCCGCAGAAACAAGCACTCTGCGGACTCCTCATCCATCAGGGAAAGAGGGAAAATTCAGAAACCCAAACCAGCTCCACCTCCACCACCCACTAATGCCAAAACAGGCAAGATTTCCCGCAGTCCCACTATAGATCCCCCTTCCCCCTCATCCACCACCTCGGACTTCAAAACAAACCCCACAACCACTGCAAATGACCAAGCCCGCTCCCCCCTCAGCGAGGGCTCCAAGAAGCTGCCCCTGGGCTGCTCTTCTAAACTTCAACCGTTAAAGACCTCCAACTCCTCTTCATCAGTGACCACCTCCCTCTCCAGCCAGAGTCTCGGGGGCTTCTCTTCCTCCCTTGCCTCCCCCAGCGATCAGAGCTCACCCAACGCTTTCATCCCCCTAGTGAACACCCGACGCTCCCTCCGCAAGACTGCACCCCGTCAAGGATCGGAGCGCACCCCCAACTCAGCCGTGACGCGGGAGATGGTGCTGGAAGGCACCGAGCTACTCCGTGCAGCAATTTCTCGTAACTCGGAGCAGACGGGTAGCCACAGCGCCGTGCTGGAGGCCGGAAAGAACCTGTCCAAGTACTGCATGAGCTACGTCGACTCCATACAGCAGATGAGGAACAAGTTTGCCTTCCGCGAGGCCATCAACAAGCTTGAGACAAGCCTGCGTGAGCTGCAGATCTGCCCCACCGCCACAGGGGGTGCCAATGCACAGCAGGACTTCAGCAAGCTGCTGTCCTCTGTCAAAGAGATCAGTGACATTGTTCAGAGGTAGCGCCATTAAAAACTCAGACTACCAAGACATTAAACTGACATGAATTGTGTCTCACACTACCCTTTTTTTTTTCCCTGAGCATGCGCATGAAATTGTGGTCCATGCCGAGCTCATGTTGGAGATTTGAGGGTAAAACCGACAGTAGAGCAGCAGCTGAGTTTATATGACTGAACACTCTGAAACACTTAAGCCTGTGGTTATTGTGGATGGAATCAAAGAATTCTCTCTGTGGACGTTGAGACAGTTTGCAATATTGAAAAAAAGCCTTAACCATGAATGAACGGTGTCTTTTAGCCTTAATGAGAGGCTCGGGGCCAATCCTTTTTCAACATGACTTTTCACCAATCATTTTTGAAAATGTCGTGTTTTTTGTACTCTAGTTTTCCCCCTTTGTCCCCGTCACTAGTAAAAGAAAGCCCTGTTACTTTTGTTTCCAGTATTGTTATTATTTGAGCTTTCATTAATGCCAATGACAATGAGCATACACAAAACACTAAACCTCATCTTGTTTTAGGATGCCTTGAAAACACTTAAATGACTCATCTCTTTGAAATTCTCCATAAAAAAATTTGCGATTCAGTGTTCATAACCTGATGCCTCTTTAGAACACGTCCCAACACTTTCCATTGCTTCTATACCCGGTCATCATGTGATGAAAACAGTGTTTGGTCTGTATGAATGCCTTTTTGCAGTATTTGCAACCATGTGCCATAAAGTAATAATGGGAGCAAACAAATGAGGTAGAATGAGCCTTCACCTTTTTGCTTCACTGCACAATTTGGTAACAACTAGTGCCTTAATGCTATTGGCTGAATTGTTCCAGGTGGTTAGGAATAGTTGTTTGATTGCCATACCAAAAAACGTTCGTTTGGGACCAGGGTGCAAGGTCTGCAACTCAGTGGATCTGACTGACTTTTCTTTTATGTCATCCTAAGTCTGGACTTTTTTTTTTTTTTTAAATAGTTTTTCCTTCTACTTTTTCTACATGCCAGTCACAAAAGCCATCAGTAGCAGCCAGCCAGCCTACAGTAGCAGGCTGTTCTGTCTGTTAAGAGGGATCACAGACAGAAGCAGCGTTTCCTCTACCACAGAACGGCCTTCTGGCCTGAGAGAATTAACTCTGATCAAGGGGTTTTGTCCTGTGGTTCAAAAATGCTGTTTCTAATGCATTTCCACCCCAGAAAAAAAAAAATATCCTGGGGGAAACACTGGACTGAAATGTTTGTGGATGTCACTTGCTGTCTTACATAAAAATGTATAAATGAGAAGCTGACCATTTTAAACTAAAAACACCCATGAAATTCCACTGTAACGTCAGAAGTTCTTTTATGCTAGTCTACATCGACATTTTCAGTGTTTGTGCTGTAGTCGTTTCACCCCATGTGCCCCGTCTGACTGCGATGCCTGAGGACACAAGTCAACCACAAGCTGGCTTGACTTCAGCACGGTACTGTCAGTGTTGGCTTTGTTTTTTATATATATATAAAAATCCTTCTCTTTTTACAACCATACCACTACTCTACTTGTGTGTCTTAGCCTCCTCACCAATTTTGTAAACAAACTATGCCTTCTCTTGTAAATACGATTTTGTTTACCTATTTGTTTCTCCCTCTAGCCTTGGTGCAATTTTTTGTTGCAATAAAATACAAAGCAGTTCTGCTACTTGAAATACATCACTGAGTCTTGTGCTTTTTTTTTACCCACTGGTGATATTTAACTAGAGCAAACCTTTGTACCGACCCGTTTCATATCTAAAGCGTGTTTTTGAGAAGCAGCAAGAAAACAGAGCAACAGGTTATGTATAATTTATTTTTTCTGTCTAGAGTATTTTGTCATTAAAATCAAAATGTCAACATTTTAAAATCATATACACTCAAGAACGCATTTAAATGTTAGCACAGCCCCTTAAAAATTTATACATATGTACTTTTTTTGTACTCGTGGACAGACAAAAGCAGGAAGTGGTCACTCAGACTGCAGGAGGTGGGACACAGGAAAAAGGAAGACCCCAGCCCGCTGACTTCCCACAATAACAAACCAATCCCCTCTCCCCAAAAAGTTAAGACAGTGATGCTAGCCCCTCCCATTTGGAGGAGAGACAATGGGTGGAAAAAGATTATTAACATAAAAGTGCCCCATTCTCAACTCGATGAGAGGAAAGAGTTTGCAGACATAAATACTAGTTAGCACGTCATCAATCCACTTCCTCTCCCCTCAACCAATTGACAGGTTCGGTAGTGTGCAGACGGGATGGTTTGAAGGGGGTGTTTCTAGGTGTCTGTCCTTTCCATACATTTATTAATAGAAACTATGTTACAGAATTTCCCAAGCATGAATTACAGGCAACCCACTAGCACATCAACTGTACAGATCTTGGCAGAGCCAGCAAATACATTTCTAAATCCCAAGTAGCAAGGTCATCAATAGTTAAGAAGCAATATTTACAGCTCTCCAATCAGGGAATCACTCTGGTACAGAAAAATTGTACTTGAAGGGGGAAGAAAAAAAGAAAGGAAAAAAAAAGCATAATTGGATTTTGACATTTTCACTGTTTCAGGGTTGGGGGCATGCTGCTTGGTGTTGTAATGTACAAAGCAGAGGAACAACCGCCCAAATGAACAACAGATCTGCTCTTCAGTGCAGCACTTCAGATAAGGGAGTGTTGACTTTTTTTTTTTTTTTTCACATCTTAAAAGTTACGATGTGGACTTTATACCATGCTGCTGATGTTTTTTTTTGTTTGTTTTTGTTTTTTTACAGCCGCCGCTTGTATTTGCAATAATTCTTCTAAAAGACTTGATTTGTTGAATCAGGGCAAGTCCAACAGCAGTGTGAAGAGCAAGTGCAGCAAAGAGATAAAGAGTAATTACATTAAGAATAATAAGGCAACAAACAATGACAAAGAAAATGCTGGTAAAAGACAGAATCTGTTGATATGACCTGGTAGAGAGTTTCGGGGGTTCAGATGTGTGAGGAGAGGAAGAATTGGTGCAAAGAGGCCGAGTGAATGACTCCGTCCGCCCAAAAAAGAAAATAAATGTTTTAACGTAAAAGTGTCATTTTAAATTAGTCAAAAAGGACTGCCATTCAACTTCTTAACACACAAACACACACAAGCAGGAAAACACCCAATATTCTTTCCTGTGATATCTCTTTGGAGAGATCAAAGAATTACCAAGGAATTTGAGGTAAATTCATAGTTTCCTCAAAGTTTCCCCCCTCTCTCTCTCTATTGTGGCAAGCATTTCAGAAACTGAATAAAAAAAGCCACAAGCAGGTTTGAATCCTGCTGAAAAAGCTCTCTCAGCTACACATCATGTGACACACTAGAGCCTCTACCTTTGTGGGCCCATGATACACTACTCAATTGCTTTCCCCGCCTTATGATGGGACACCCATCATAATGTGAGATGAGACACCCGCGTATCTCAATAAATGCTGGATGGGTAAACCTTGCAGGTTAGGCTTCAGGAGTTTGAGATTATAATTTCGATCCCATACAAACAGATGAGAGGTGGATGAATTAATGCAGTGTTTACATGTCATACAGAGCTATAAAACCAAACATAAAAAAAACAGTCTCGGTTTATCATTATCATATGAACATTACATCTATGTCAAGTGTCAGTAGCCTGATGAGAAGCGTGGTGGCCTTTATGATAGTTTAACAGAGGGGACTAGACAGAATGGTGTAAGAGTGGAGGGGGGGGGGGGAGAAAGAGGAAAATGATGTAGCGATAACACAGATTAAAGAGGAGGAGGAGTGAGAGGGGCAGAGAGGAGGAGGGGAGAGATGTAGTCCACACAGCCCAGCTCAGTCTGGCCCCACCCTCTTCCTTCCCTCCAAAGCCTCCTGGTGCAGTGAAGAAGGAGGAGGGTGGATGGAGGTAGAGGGATGGATGGATGTTTGAAGGAGGGCGGGCAGGACAGACGGCGAGAGAGAGAGAGAGAGAGAGAGAGAGAGAGAGTGAGAGAGAGGAGGAGATGATGACGACGATAGGGGGGGTTTTGCTTGGTCATTAGCAGCCGCAGCCTTCCCTCTGGGGCTGTGGTTCGCTGGTTAGCCGGCCGCCCTGGGGGGCTGAGGGCTTATGCTGGACCCCTGACTCGGCTGCGTTCAGGTCCAGGCTGCCATCTTGGATGTTCTGGTAGATCTTCTTTGCTGCTTCCAGGAAGGCATCCTCAACGTTTTCACCTCTGAAGAAGGAGGGTTATCACAAATGTGAGAAAAGGCTCAACATGGGAGTTGTGGAATGTAAGCAGAGGGATTTAGGATGTGTGTTGTGCAGTCAATGAAGTTGGGCAGACTTACGTTTTTGCACTCGCTTCCAGGAACAACAGACCTGTAGACATAATGACAGTCAGTAAAACGTTGTTACACTCACACCTCAGATGCAAAGTCTACATTCAGCCAATTAAAATAAAACTCTGCTCAGCTGAGCTTTCTGCAGATCTTGTATTTTAACAACATAAATACAAAAGGAGATGAATCTCCCTAACTCTCTTTAAGTCAAACATAAAGGCTTTGTTATAAACATTCTGAGACAGAAAAAGATATCTGTGATTGCCTTTGTAATAATCAAGAAACAGACCGCTTTGGAAGAGGCTTTTGTAGAGATAGTTTGAGTGATTTTAAAGAAATATAAACAACATTGAAAGGGGGAAACTAACAGGCCTCCTCCCAGCATGCACTGCTCTGTGTCTTGTTTACCGTTCTCCTCAGCAAACTGCTTTGCCTCCTCATACGTGACGTCCCTCTGGGCCTCCAGGTCAGCTTTGTTTCCTATGAGTATGATCACCTGGGAATACAAAGAAAAGGAAGAGTGAGACTATCCTCTGGACACTGTGCTACTTCCTGTGAGAAGTTTACTTTCTAAGCCTCAGAACACTGACGGCAGAGTAGGAAGACTATTTCTAAAAGGTAGGTGATATACCGCTGAGTTGTCCAAGAGATCTATTGAGAGAAACAGAGGAACTCACACCCCCGCCTTAGCACAAAAGATACTGCCTCTAGCAAGTGTGATGTAATTAGTACCTTGAAGTACTGTAATGCACTGAGCTTCCTCATAGCAGTGCCAGACTCTAAGAACACTCTTTTGGAGCTGAACTGCAGCATGTCCAGCATGAACGTTTCATGTTTACTGTCTTTTTATGTTCTTTCAAAAGGTTTTCACAACATATGACAGCCAGTGTTTGGCAAATATGTCACTGTACTGGGGAAGTGAGTTTAAAACTTTTTGCGAGATAAAAAAAAAATTAACTAAGCTACACATTTAAGCAGATTCCGGTCTACAATTCTTTATTTATTGGATGTTTGTGCCTGGTAAAGGTAAGAGCTGATACTTGTTGCAAAGCTTCCAAAGCTCTTTCATTACGCTTGTAATCTTACAGATAACCGAACAAAGTGTCAGTCCCAGTGATAAAAAGAACACCTTACATGTATATCCAAAAACAACCTCAATACAAATAAAGCTCTACTGTTAAAACACCAGGAAAGCATTTTTCACTTGATGTCGGATTGAGCAGGAGGAGCATACAGCAGAAACACAGCTTGATAAATGAGAGAGTTATGATTTAGAGCTAATCATATTTACCAAGAAATTCAATTTAAGAAATGGAAAGGGCTCTGTTGTCTCAGACAGGCTCAAGGGAGAGGGCAAATGAATGGGAAAAGAAAACCACACAGTAAAAGAGAAACTATATATCCATGCACTAAAGACACACACAGACTAACTCGAGTTCACAGAATGATAGGATGTAAAGAGGAGTACTTACAGTATTGGGATTGGTGAGGTTTCTGGCGTCAGTCAACCAGCTACTGAGGTGGTTGTATGTGCTTCTCCTTCATGACATCATAAGAAGGGAAAGGGGTTACTATGACAATAGGGTAAGATTTAACAACATGCTATCTGAGGAAGTATCAGAAAAGAGTCTGCTTCTTCATACAGACATTTGGAAAATTGGAGAAGGATAAATAATTTCAGGGGGAATTTTCAAGGTTGAAGATATTTCTAAATTATATCTTTGAATATCATTTCAGTCTATTAGCACAACAGAAGCTAAACTATACCACATTAACAGCAATGTAAACTATTTATATGAGTTTTTCCAGTTATTAAATACTGTTGTAGGGCCCCTAGGGGGCCTTGATGTGGGTATGGGGTGTGGTGTGTGCATAAATTCCACATGTTGGACTGTGTTTATTTAACTGGAGCTGATACCATCCAACAGTGTGGGTAAGAAGGCTGGAGCCAGGCTGTATGATTAACTGTTCATGTTTGTTCAGGGGGGGTCTGAAGGGGATGTCGGTGCACTTATCAGATGCTTTTGCTTCCATTTAACTTCCCCTTAACATAAATGTTTTTTTTTTTTTTTGTAAAATGCACACATAGTGTATAGCTGAGACCATGTAGGAACTGTATCTCCCACACATTTAGAGACACATTAAGCATCCTGTACCTGGTGATGTCATAGACCATGAGCGCCCCTGCTGCTCCACGGTAGTAGGAGCGGGTGACAGCCCTGAAGCGCTCTTGTCCCGCAGTGTCCCAAATCTGCAGCTTGATCTTCTGGCCGCTCACCTCAATTATCCTTGTGCCGAACTCTACGCCGATCGTATGGGGGCAGTCGGCCATGACTGGGGAGAGGGAGAGAGGTTAAGTAAGGTGTGTATAAGTATTACAGTTGCTATGTTATGTCCACAATGTTCATCACCTAACTTCAACAAAACAAGTATCTATTTCTCTATCCATATATGTCTATAATTTTTTAACAGTTCATTTAGCCTATAAAATATAAAACTTATCCCATTAAATATTTTAGACAGTCATGACTCAGAGACATTTACAGAGGACAAACTTGATTTCTGCTGTATGCATGTGTAAAATGTTGCACATTCTTCCTTTCTACCTTCTAACCTCCCTCCATTTTTTTCAAAAGCATCTCCAATATGTTTCCTAGTTTGACCACGTTTCTATGTCATGGAACTTATTAGAAAATGCAAAAGCTTTGAAGGTATATTAAACTCAAAGTCTAACTTATATACTTAACATGAGCCAAACTGTGGTTATCTTTAGTGTGAGGCCGTCTCACAGTTAAGTATAATTAAGCATTTTCAGATTTTCTTTTCTACATCAAGTTAATAAAAGCTGCATCTGTTGCTGTATAATGGACATGTTTGATTCATGCACCCACAACTCATCTTCATTGGAAAATCATCAGCAGGTGCATAAACAATCAGCTGTTATAGAGTCCCTATTCTCACAGTTGTCTTAATCCTAAGTATCAACACCCAGAGGGCGGCAAATTTGTTTAAACTGACACTGAAACCCTTTTTTTTTTTATATCACACTGGAATGGTGTGTGTGTGCAGGATGTGACTATGGCGTGTGAATTACGAACACAGCATCTGGCTTGTTAATAGTAGCACCAAACAAGACAGAGCTGAATGGTGACGGGAGGCTGCAGCTGACTGGCACACAGAAGAAGAGTCTCTCACTGAGGAGCTCAAACCACTTCTATGCTGCTGACTTCCGCTGGAGTATAAAGAAATCTCAAATGATTAAGACTCTCCAATCTAACCTGGCAACCTTTCATACACGGTGACACATGCTTCGATGAAAGAAGTCATAATCGGGGCAGGCACTTACATTTCTTTTCTGTGAACTGGTGAAGCAAACATGACTTCCCTACCCCCATGTCCCCTGTGGAGAGAGACACAAGAGAAACTCGGGTCAACCAAGGAAAAAACAGACAAACAACAATTCTCTATTCAAGCCTGCAGTGTTGCCCCCATGCATGATGTAGCAGCCCCTCAGGGACTGTCGGATATGATACTCAAATTTTCATGTGGAGTGGTAAGAGAGACTCAGAGTAGGACCAAGATATAAAGTTTAAGGTCCTACAGAGTTTGACAATTCTTGTTGTTTTTTATCCGTTCTGACACTAATAGTACATTTGCTTTGTAGCTTGACCTTGTTTGTGTAATCATCTGTGACTCCAGAGTCCCTTATTTGCTTCCTCTGAATAAGTTAAATGATGTTGCAGGCAAACAAAAATCCAAATATAATAAGTGTTTTGGGGTAAATGAGATTGAGAGAAATCTGCTGCTTTCAGGATAAATCCGTAATATGGATTCACCAAGCACTACCAAGGTTGAATTAGCATTGCTAAATTCGGTCAGCAACAACAATAAGACGCAGCTTTGGAAATTGTATGCGACTCCCAACAAGCAGGATTACAACATCTTAAAATTTTCACTTGTTAAAAACAAACTAAAGAGTTTCCTTGACAGAAAATGTAAAAAAAAAAAAAAAGACAGAAAAAGTTAAGAAGCAAGCTGCTATCTCTCCTGGGTGCTCTTTGAAGCTCATCCACACACCCCTTTAATATCCAGGCGGAGTGTTGGCTTTGAGGCAAGGCGTTTCAGGTTTCACAGAAAAGGATAAATAGCCTGAGCTTTGGGGCTGTGTGTTCATGCATAAGTCTGTGTGCAGATGTATGTACAAGCGAAAGCAACAATATGTTTACTGAGAGCTCACACGTTAAAAACATATCAGCAGCATTGGAACATCATTTGTAATAAAAGGAGAACTTATATCTGTTTATTGATAAGCAGTACATAATAGTATGTTATTCAAATAATGTTTAGTTAGACTAATGCATTTTTTTTTTTAAATCCATAAATGTCAAATTGTTTATCCAATAATAATGTCTTACATCAGATCAATGCAGACATGAAGAAACAAGTCTCCTAAAATGCTGTCTTATTTTTAGGACCAGTAGGTAAAAACAGACGATGACAGTGATAACTAATGACACATGCAGGAACAACTCAGTCTATGGAGTTACGTTTAAAAATGAATAAAGGTCATTCACATGACTTGCAGAGTCCCCTCCGACATTGCTCACTTACCGATAATGATGTATTTGAAAATGTAGGAGTAGTTGTACGGTGCAGTGGCCATTGTGGCTCTGAAAGAGAAGAACAGAGAAGAAAACTTAAAGCACGTAAACTGTCAATGAGGGCACTTCTCCTCCATACACAGATTCTCAAGTTACGCATGCAAAAGAAATATAATTCAGAGTATATTACAAGTATTTAGAAGTTTAAGTCTTTTCCCCCTTCAATAAAAAAAAAGTTACTAAAGGGGTTAAGCAACACAGTCATTCAGTATACAAGTGTAAAACAACAAATTTCCATGAGGAAGTGATTGGGGGAAAAACAAATGAAGTAATGTTCAAACTTAAATTGTTCACCTAAGGTCCAGTGACATTCTACAAAGCCACAATCCTATCAGACCAACAGGTCCATAATGATGTGTGCCAAACAAGGCCCAATTCTTCATCAGTGCATACAAGTACAGTAATAACATTATACTTCTGAGGGAAAGTGAATCAACACATCAAAACATATACATTGTGTAAACAGTCCAGTCACAACGTTTGAATAATGATCAAATTATGTAATGCAGTTCTAAGTAACCTATTTACAATATGGCACCCATTAAAATCAGTAAGTATGAGCTTGATTAAACCATGAATAATATATGAGCCCGATAAACATGTTGCATTTGTATGATGATACCGCTGATAGAAACTAAACACAAAACCGGTGTCCTCCCATAATGAAAGAGCAACACAGTGACACTGGGTCATTTGGTTGGCATCGACTGGATAATAACTGTCTAGTAAACAAAGTGGCACTTCACACGTACACAAGAAAACTGCCAGCATCATGGGCTCAGAACTTCGCTAAAAATAGCTCTGACACCTAACTGATACCAAAAGATTCTTCATTGATCCCACTCCACTCACAGAAAATACTGTATAAACGGAGAAAATCCTTCAGATTTACTAGAATATCCCCAGCCAATACTACTAAAACGACTACATTAAACTTTATCTACATAGCGCCTTTCTAAAACCAGATTACAAAGTGCTTTACATCAGTAAAAATTAACTGGCTGAATAGCCAAGAGGAGAGTTTCTTTATAAACAGCACATTAGTTCATTTTTTGCTCATGAACATCTTCACTGTAAAATGTATTTTGCCATTGCAATGTAATCTCCTGACTCTTAAGATCGTCAGTAGGAGCACTGCTTCACGACGTGCTGCTGTTCAGTGTAACGGTTAATCATTTAAGCTTAACAACCACGAGAAAAATCATTCAACAGCCTGATATGTCCTTGGCAAAGATAGTCAAGCTTGAAACTAGTGCTTTTCTCTGATCTACATTTCGGTGAAAACTGTGATGCACCCTAAGCAAGTTTCTGGAAACTGAAATCAGTTTGACACATCAGAAGAACCCACTGCTGGTACTATGCTTATTTATGCAGTTCAATGCTGATGTTTGACTTGTCAGATTAATGCTGACACAACCTCAAGAAATGTGGATGTGATACAAAAATCCAACAGAGAAGTAGCATTACTAGAGCAAGCAATAAAAAAGAGAAGGACTTTAGAAACAGACCAGACAAGAGACACTAACAAAGAAACAGACTTTTAGAAGGAGCGGAAACTTTAAAAAAAAGGGGCTAAATATAAAGGACTTAAGATACATCTTTGCTAGAGATGTAAATCAAGGGGCATGTAAAGGCTACTTAGTTCAGGTTAATTCAGGTCAGGACATTACTGATACATTTGCCTCTGTGGCTCACGAGTACCCTCACATTGACATGTGTACTGACACACATACTGACTCCTTGTACAAACCCTATGAGGAGGGCAATAAAATCTGCATCCGAAAAACATCAAAACAAAATAACAATTATTTGTAGAGCTTAACTGGAAAACTATAAAAACTCAAGGAGTATTTTTCAGTCTCTGATATCTAATTGTCAGCAACATTTTTTAATGAGGACTGAAACTGCTGAATGATTATCACATGAAACTGTCAGAAACTCACAAGAGAAACAAGAGCAGGCTGGGACTGTTTTTGTTGGGGGCATCAGAAAAGACTTGGCTCACACCCAGTCCCCCACAAACTCTGCAACTTGACCTGACATTTGATAATTACTCAGACCAACACAAACTACCTAACAGATGGGAAAACTGTCAGTGTGATATTTAATCATCATCAGACACCATCTGAGACTGATAACTACCTTACATGCTGCTTTGTAGAAAATCGGGGTAGCTTTGATAATGAACACAGTCCAATCTCAAGCTCCAGCTTGTTGTCACTAAAGGGCTACTTGTGTACTTTAAATTAGTACAGCAGTATACCTTCTTTCTTGTTTTTTTTTAATACTGAATGTTTAAGTTCTAAATCAATTCAAATATTTAACATATTGCTGATTACACTATTGCAACTCTTTAAATACCCACAGTAAACAGTCCTTGATGGACTTTTCCAAGCTCCCTACTGTCACCTGACCTGTGGTTTACAGTGCCTTGGAAGGTAAGCTATAAGTAAAGATTTACCAGTCAGACCAAAAAAAATGATTCAGCTGTGATAACCATCCTCCTTCAGCTTTTCTTCTCATTACATAGAAATAAACTCCGTAAGTATCCTCAATGGGCAAGGCGAGTCAAGACCATGTGACCAGACTGCAGCCTCAGCACTTCTCAGTTACTCTCATTATACACAGTACCTCTCTCTTATGAAACACTGTCCGACAGTCTATCAGTTCTTAACCATCAGGAAATGATGGCACAAATATAGTCATGGTGCCTTCATGATGTTCAGGTCAACTATTCAAATCATGTGACTCCTTACTAGTTCTAAAAACACATGAGATCATCAATACTATTACTAATATTAATATTATATATTTTTTTTTGATCCTTTAACCACTTGTTTCTATTTATTTTACTGCTCTTACCTTCTTATTGCTGTTATCTTTTTTTTCCAGCTCTTTTAGTTTCTTACATATTTGTAAATATTTGGTTCCTCTTGGTCTCAGCTCTTGTAGTTGGGTTCTTGTGTTTCCTGGGTTCTTATAATGGTTGTTTGACGGTCGGGTTATACATGTTGGATATCGTGCACTTTGGGTTCTTTTCTGTTGAATTGTATTTAATTATTTTTAGTATTTTGCATTGGTTATATTCTTACTGTTGTTAATGTTCTTCTGTGTTTGGTTTAGTTTGCTTTGTTCTTGTTTTTGCTGTTTGTCAAAGCACTTTGTAAACCTGTGCTTTTAAAAAGGTGCTAAATAAATAAAGTTATTATTATTAATACTGTTTACAGGCAAGACCGAGCAGACTACATTCAATACACCAAAATTATGCTTTGATGTTGCTTATATGATTGAATATAATAAATGGAAAAAAAGCTTTTAAAGTCTCATAAAAAAGACTGCTTGAACAAATAATGCATGGATAGTTGGTACAAGTAACAACATGGTAAAACATTTTAGGTTAGATTAAGGCAGCTGTATTAAAAAAAAACACTTGAAAGGTATATAGAGTTTTTGCTTGTTGCCAACCAAGTTTCAATTAGTTTTAATTAAACATAGCTGTTGTTTTGGAAAATGAAAGCTAACACAATATTGGCTAAAGGAACTGTGGTTGCTTATTAAAATGTCTCCACTAACAGATGACCTCTGGGTCACATAATAAAAAAAGGAACCTGGCTTCAGAGTGTCGTTTCTGTTGTTAAGTGTTTTAAACGTGTAATGTTTGATCCCCAATGACTTGGTTAGCTTTATGGAAGCCCATTTCCGCCAGTTTAAAAAATAAAAATGAAAATAATAAAGTAACAATTATGAGATAAAAAGTCAAAATAATGAGATAAAAAGTCATAATGAGATAAAAAGTCAAAATAAAGAGATAAAAAGTCATAATAATGAGATAAAAAGTAAACAATAATGAGACAAAAAGTAAACAATAATGAGATAAAAAGTCATAATGAGATAAAAAAAAGTCATAATGAGATAAAAAGTAAAAAATAATGAGATAAAAAGTCATAATGAGATAAAAAAGTAAAAAATAGAGATAAAAAGTCAAAATAATGAGATAAAAGTTGAAACTATGAGACTTAATTGTTTTCATTTTTATTTTTTTACTAGCAGAAATGGGCTTCCATATTAGCTTAGCTTGACAACCCACAAAGTGACAGCATCTGTTGGTTTAATCCTCTTGTTTCAGCACACACACTGAAAACAACATTACGAAGCACAAGAAAACATAAAAAACTAACATGAAGTATGAAGCGGCTTGATAACAAACACGGCCCCTGATTAGCTGATTGGACAGCTGCTACCTGCCTGCTGACATCAGTGGATCTTGAAAACAAAACACATGAACGCACACAGTATGCCTCTACCAACACATGAACAATGTAAACCAAGCCGTGTTATTAATACGGCTTAATGTGTCCTCTTCGTTATTTCAGAAAATCAACCACAACAAACACACACAAAACTAACGACAGCTAACGATAGCATTAGCGTGCTAAGTTTGTCAGCTAGCTGCAAAGGGGCTTGGATTATGTTAGCAGAATACGTAGTTTACTTAGCTTGTCAAGACATATTTATTCATCGCTGATGTAGTATTTAATCGCTTACACTGTGTTCTCTAACCAGTCAGGACGTGATTTCTCCTATTCTTGAACGCTGATGATAAACACCTACCTAGCATTAGTCATCTATTAGCTACAGTGGGTTAGCTTTGGCAATTAGCTCACTCCCTGCTAACCCTGACTGTTTCCTTAATCTAAACATGAGCTTGTTTGCCCTGCCAGACTTTACACATGTGTGTATGAGTGTGTCCAAGCATGCTGTCGCTGTATTCCCTTACCAGATATGAAACCTTTTGAGCTTAGAGGTGTAGAGCTGTTCAGAGGAGGAGTGCAGGTTATCCTGGCTGATCTGTCTATCCAAGATGGCTGCTCACGGCACAGGGTTTCCTCCGCTGTGTACAATGGGCTTCTGGGACAAAGAGCATCTTATGCGGCGATTGCGGTGCGTTCACCGATAGTGAACCCTGCTTTGAGGTCGGCAAATTCACCTGCACAGGTGTAAATACGCATGCTGTACCGGGTACATCACTCAATACTTATGAAGTGCTTTTATCAGATTATGAAGTCATGAGCCTAGAATAATTTCATGAGATATAAAGTGGAGATATAAGATTAATTCAGGCACTTAAAGGTAATGTTTAGCATGCCTTTGAAGAAGACGTGAGTGTAAGCTTATTAGGCACAACTTGCTTTATGTTAATGGTAATTTATTGTTATTTAGATAGGCTATAAGTAGTTTCCACAACAACAACAACAACAACAACACAACAAGTTTTCCTGAGGCCTCAAGGCTCGCCTGTATATTGTATGACACTTTAACTATTGTATACAGCTATGAATGTAATACACTGAATATTCTAAACAATATTTTAATTGGAAAACAGTTCAAATAATAGGATAATAAAAAAACGTTTTCTTTATCTTTATCTCTTCATTCATTTAAATTAAATTTAAATGAATGAAAAAAGGTATTTTGCTTCACTGGCCCTGCTTGTTTCTCCTTCTCTCCCCTGACACTGAATCTGTTAATGTCAATTGAATGTGTTAATGTTTATTTTGGGGTGAAGTCTCTCGAGGCTATTTCTGTGGTATCCAGAATCACATTTGTCACATGTAAACAATCATCGTGCGAGGTAAGCAGGTCTGAAAAATATTTAGGAAACAGTTGGAGCTGCACAGCCATAATCTTTTAAATGAGACAGAAATTTGGGCAAGCAGTGTTATTCTGTGACTCCCAGTTTTACCCAGATTTTACAGAATAAGTTTAGTTTAATATGCATATTATAAGACACTTTTTTGTAATGCATTAGGCCTACCCTACTGTGGCATGACAAATAACACTTGCAAAAATCTCCATGAGACATCTGTATGGTCATGGCAACAGTAATGTTATTGTATAAATATAGCGTTAAAACAATTAGGCTTTTTTAAATTCACATGCCAGTTTTAAACATGTTTATATGCACTTAAAATCACCTTCTCATAAGCTTGCCTTGTGTTTAACCCAGTTTATTGTTCATTCTCATGATATTCAGTGAATTAAGTGAGTTATTTTTTCGATTACTCTGATTATGTATAACCTGTGACATCCATGTTGTTGGTTTTTTGTGTGTGGAAAAAAATAGTTTCCAAGCCTTTTTCCTTTGAAAAATATGAAACATTTTAATACAATAATTCACAACATGACATGCTTTCACTGTACAATCCTACACAACATGCAATGTGCAGTCCCAAGCTTAGCCTAGGAGCCGGATGGCCAACTAAAAAAATATCTTCAATATGGCAAAGTAAGTAGCTTGTGACTTCAAAAAACATACTGCATTTTCTATAGATCACAAAGATGTGATCTAAAGAAAGAGAAACAGTTCTTTACAGAGAAAGTGGATTGATTGATGTATAAGTTGCAGGTGAATATGAGCCTCTAGAAACTCTGTGTTAAACTGCATTTTTAATGAAGTGACTTTATGATATTATGATCTTTCTTTCATAGATTTCCAAAACACTATATATACTCTTCAGTTAGTGTGTGCACAATAAAATCACAGAAGACTTCTGCATCTTCATCTCTGTTTTGGTGAAACAAGGCTATTAAAGTCCAAGCGTACAATGAAACAAAAGCTATGATTTCCAAGTGCTATCCAGTAACACCTTACTGAGTAAAACTCTTATTTAGCCCTAAACGTGATCATCTAAGAAGAGAGATGAGAGTTACTTATATAAAACATTTTACCCATTGTCCATTAGTGTTCCTTTTCCTCCATATCACAACCACATCCTCAGCAACAGGATGCTGAACAGTGCACCTATGCATTGCAGTGTGCTTGATTGCCACGAGGGGGCGCTGTTACATAGGTCTGAGTCACAGCAGTGGATGCGCACCCCTGGCAGCTCCTGCTGCTGGCAGTGTCTGGATGTGGCACAACCGCTGGTCAGGACAATACCCAGGGCCGCTAGATGGACAGAAGAGGAGACAATCAGTCAGAGGCAGAGTGACAAGCGGGTGTTTGGCTCAGCAAAAAAAAAAAAGCACAAGTAAGCAGCAGATAGTGCAAGTGTGTAATGAGGAAGTCATTTAGTGATCTTAAAGGAACACACCACAGAATATGTCCTCACATCTAGGAAACCTAGCCTCTGACAAATGGTACATTTTGTACTCTGCAGTAAAAACTGAAAGATGCACTGCCACAAAATCCAGATGATTTAATAAGGTATTGGATGCAATTCAGTCCATAATGTAATACAGTTTGTGTAATGTTAATAACTACTGCCATTTAAGCTTAGAGTCAGTGACAAAAAGTGCATTATTTACATCTTGGATCAGCAATATTTGGCATGATCGCATACTATACAAAATAGGAGTTCAAACACCTTTTTTCAGTTTCTTAAACTTGTTTTCCAATTATATAAATTACTGATCCTTTCCTTGAACTTCATTAGCATTTCACAACATCTCTGTGATTATAATTCCTCCAAAGACAAAAAAGAAAGCTGACTTAGTAACTGTTTGCCTTTAATGTGTTTCTGGATTAAAACATTTTTAGATTGTTTACCTTAATTATTCTATAACTATTCATTTGACCTATTCACACTGCACAGCACTTGACTTGATGTTTGTCATGTAGCCTACTTAGATGTTTTTAAACCGTTTCAGTCTCTGATTTAGTGTGGTGTAGTGTTGTTTTCACTTTGGGCTGTTGATTTTCTTTATTTTTTTGTTGTTGTCTTGATGCCTGCTGCTACAACTCACATTTCTGTCAGGATAAAAAAAAAAAGTCGACATTGAAGTTCTCCAGACACAGGGAGCTCAGAGCTTAAATGAAGAAGGATCAGGTAGAGCGAGGCCAACTTGAAAAAATGTCAGCCTGGCTTCTTCTCTACAGATATAATGAGGATTCTTAATCTAGCCTATGTACACCTTTTATTGTTTAACCCGAGTTATAGGGTAGATGATGCTGATAAGTGACAGGACATTATATGGAGGGCACTGACTTCATTATGAGACAGATGTCTTGTTTGAAAAGGTCAAAGGGTACTAGAACTCTAAGACTCTTATGGAACTTCGCTAGAATCGGTTAGATTTGAGTTTGGCGGGGACACCTGCAGATTAATAGTCTGACTGGCCTCAATTTAAACCAAGACACTGGCACACGATTCTGACAATTATGCTGTGTCTGGTGGGCTCGTGTCAGTCCTTGTCTTAGCGTGTCATTTCTCTGAGCAAAGGTAAAAGGTGCCTCATCAGCCCTTTCAACATGACTGAACCGAGTTAGACATCGAGCAAGGGAACAGCTGGATCGTCCATGCTTGCATGGATATCAGCAGAACCACTCATCTGAACGTCACTCTCCCGTCGTGGCCACGTCCACATCTTCCATTTGACTCAACATCAAACAATGAGTGACTTGTAATATACTCAGCAAAGCACACCAAAGTAGGGTTATGTAACTACCCTCAGTGCAAGGAGAAATAAGATATTCACATCAGTGGACAAAGAACATTAACATGAAAGTATGATTAAAAATGATTATGCTGATGTCCAGTGGTACGCCAGAGTGAATTTAAAATCTCCTGCTGCACAATGAAAAGTCTACAAATAAGAATCACACACAGACACAGCAGACCAAGTTAGAGGGAAAAGAAAATGTAGAATAATGAAGATGATTTCAATTTATTGGTGATTTGAAATCGTTGGTGGTTGTTTTTTTTGTTTTTTTAAACTCACTGCTCTCTGTCTTGATGCAGAAGCGGTGTTTGAAGCCTTTGTGTGAGTGGGTGCAGGTGATGACCTCTGGGTTGGAGCAGCCCACGTCCACATACCTCTGGCCCTGGATGATGTTGCAGCCATAGCACTGCAGCCCTTTGACTACAAGGAGAAAGACACAAACACTATAATGACAGCTTTGAAGGGTGCAACTTCAAATGACCGGCCAGCTTGTTCATGTTAAACCACCTTGTTTGTTAGCAATATGTACTGCAACTTTTAGGGTATGGGAAGAATTGTATACAGAGATTGTAGAATCAGTATAGACCAAGAAAGGTTCGCGGTTAAATGAGGAAAAGACACAACAAAATCCAGTGTGACACTTTTACTGTGTGGATATTCTAACAGATTCTATGGTGACCAATAGGATATCTCCATCCTTCTCTCTCTCCCCATCCAGTAGTGGCAGATGGCTCTTCTGAGTCTGGTTCTGGTAGAAGATTCTGGCGATTAAACAGAAGTTTTTAACTGCCACTGTTTTCAAATAGTGCTTGCTCATGGTGGATTCATATTGGGTCTCTTCTGATAGCAAAAATACAGTTTTACACTTTTTGTAAAGTGTCCTTTATTACTTTTATTACGATTTGACTCTAAATAAATTAAAAAGTTGGAATGGTTGATTTATTTATAAAGATTAGGATTTCATTTTCACATTATTAGAAGACAAAAAATGATAATGAGCTTAATTTTCCAGCGGTAACGATTAATTCCCTTTCTTTTTCCTCAAGATCTCGATTTACTCATCTCTTATTAACCCTGAAGTAGAAATAGGCTTATCTGACCTCTTTAGTGTGGGCAATGGCAGCATGGCATGCCATGGTCTGGACTGTCACAGTGACAAGCATATTGTTTTGTTGTCTAGACTGACAGAAAATGACCCAGTTATCACGAGAAAACAAGCTTTGTTATCTTAATATATTGAAATATATGAATCAGATAGGAAAATAAGTAAAATTATTAAGAAAACAACTTAAATTACCAGTTTTTTTAAATAGAAAAACCAACATCGTTCTCTCCAGATAACAGAATAAACAAGTTGAGATCTTGAGAAAACAGCCAGACATTACTTGTTACTACAGGAAAAATTAGTAAATAAAATGTATGAACGTACGCTTGCTCGGGGCTTCCGCAATGTAATGTGTAT